GTAGTTATAGCGTAATTCTCTTTTCCTCACAGAGCTACTTATTGAATCAAACATATGATCTATGTTCGGAATCTCTTAATATCAATTGTGTTTACATTTTCTTTCTGTCAGTAGACACTTGACATCCAAATCTTTTAGGATTGTGGGCATTTGTTGTAGACTTTTTGTTATTCCTTTGGTCATTTCTGGCTCAGATTTTAGTTTCACTTTTAATCATAGTTTGTGGTATATCAATTCTGATATACATCAGTGTCGAATTAGTGAACCACGTTAGCTGTTTGTACTTGTGCAGCAAATTTAGTTTTTGTGCAAGCTATTTCTGTGCATAGCACAGTTGACTTTAAATATTCTGTTAAGAGTATGAACTGGTTCTTGTGTCCAGGAATTTTGAGACTTTAGAGGTAACTGAAAATGAAGCAATAGTCTTAGTTTTGTTGTCTCAACGCTTTCTCTAGTGCTGATTGTAGAAGGGTGATAGCAGGCTGTTTCTTAATGAGAATCCTTTGTTCTACCATTAGTTCTTGTATCATATGTTCAATCCTTAAACTTTAGAACCTGTGCAGTTGATTTCTTCTACTTAAAACCAATTTATGTTGTCGACAAGACTACATATACTTTGATATTTGTTGATGTTTTTTAATCTGTATTTAGTTTTTTTATGGCCATTGTTTGTCCCTCTTTATCCAGAATACTGTCTGAAGTATGCAAAGCCGGAAGACATTGGTGCTTCCCCTGAAGAAAAATCCAGTGATGAAGAGCTGAGTGAAAATGAGTGTGATTCAAGCGACGAACAAATGCTGGGAAAACCTGACCCTTAATGGGGTTTTGTTTCGTATACATCTTTGTTTGAACTACCGAAAGACAAAAAAAAATTCCAACTCTTCATGTCATGTGCCACTGTAAATAAGCATACTAAAATCAAGTTATGTCTATTGTGTGAATTGACTCAGTGCAGCCAGGTGATTTGGAACTCGGTAGTAGATCGAAGACTTGTATCAACTAAAGGTGGCCCTGCGAAGCACTGAATTCAACAGCATAAATATGCATCAGTTATTGATGTGGCCTTGTTGATTGGCCAACAAGCCATGACAAATCTTTTAACACATGAAATCACATCCTTAGTGAGCCATTAGTGGTCTCGAACTTTCTCCTGCAATTCCTAGCAGTTTATGATATGGACATTGAAAGAACATTACATTCCTATTGATCATCCTGATAGATCTGCCCCTTCCATTGCTTCAAGTGCTGTCCAAGGTGTTGCTGTGTCTCTTGGTGGCTTCTGGATTGGTAAGATTCTATTATGCTGCAAGGACTCAGTGTAAGTTCTGCAGTGTTATATGATTCTAAATATTGAGAAATTTGTCGAATAAGTGGTGTAAAAATATTATATTCCCAGTATTTGCTTTCAGTTGACATTCATGAGATTAGATATCATATAATCTAAACTCTTTTAATATTAGTAATATTGATCTATCTTTAATCATTTTGATTTCTGTTAAACACATGAATATTAGTGATGAAGATCAATTTTGATCTAACAAAGTTTTTACTAATTAGTTATCAACTTAAAAAATATGTAGGATAAGATTTTAAATCCACAACATTAAGTAATTATGTCATTTGTTAGCATATATACATGCCCCACAAAAAAAAAACTCATATTATTAGTTTTTTTTAATTATTCTTTTTTGTTTTTTTCATTCAATGATGAGCAATTTTTTACGATATAATACATGCTAAAAATCATATTATTAGCCTTCAAGTTTTCTAGATAGCACCCCCTCATTACTAAAGAGTTTCTGTGGATGCCTAACATGACTAAACGGGTGTTGTCGGTTTAATTATTTTTGAATAAATTTATAATATATTTTTTTTTTTATTGAACTATATTTTTATTTTAAAAAAAATTACTAAAGTAGAATCTTAATTCATTTAAATTCTCAGTAAACATTAATTATTTTCCTGTATTAATTTCATAAACGATTTTATTTGAGAGTTTTTTTAGAAATTTTGAATGAAAATTAATACTCTAACATATTTCAATAGAAAGGATGACATAACCTTAAATTTAGATTTATAAATTTTAAAAATCATAATATTTATTTTAATTATTAAAAAGTATAATAAACAATTCTCTGTTATAATATTTTTGAATAGATTTACTATGTTTTTTTTAATCACTGAACCAAAACATTATAACTCTAATAAAAGATATTCTAACTTAGTTTTAATTAATTAAATTTTCACTAACAGTAAATATCAATTTTGGAGGTATTGTAAAATTATTAATATGAAACTTTGAATAGTTTTGGATGAAAATTATGAAGATCTTTATATATTTCAAAATAAATCATTTTAAATGTAGGAATGAGAAGTGTGATCCTACAAAAACCTAAAACATGAAGAATTTCCATGGAATCGCCTTTCAATGATTATATGACCTCAAATGATGGGAACATATTCCCTAAATTGTCTCATCAGTTTTGGACGGTAGCGTTACTATTTGACAAAGCCATTCCGCTCATCACTTCATTTATGTCCCCATTTGTGTGCTTCTTCACCCTATGAGCGAAGAAAATAGCCCCCAAGGAGATGCTGCTGCGTACGACCGCGTCCGCTTGCCTCTGGACCGACGTGGATGGCGCTGGACGCGCCACATCGTCCTTAGCAGAAGCGACGAAGCGTGCAAAGGTTGCCTCCCTCCTCCAATGGCTGCCCACCCCCGCTCGCTGAACTTTAGAAGAAGAAGAAGAAGAGGTACTGCACTTGCAGCAAAGATTGTTGCAGCGGTCTCCTCCATCCATGCCTCCGTCACATCTCCGCGAACTGTTTCTTCCATGGCAGCCACCCCAAATTTATTTCTCCAAGACAAATACCACGTAAATTGGCGTACTGCTTTGGATCTGCATAGATCTTCTTGTCCTTGATCTCGCGGAATGGAAGTCCTCCGAGGACCATTAGGCTCAGCTCAAACGAAGTTTCACTTCCCACGGACGTGATGATTGTAACGATGGTCCTCTAACGAATGAAATGGAGTTCGGCATTGCATGGGCGTCTGTTTGATGAGCATAACGACGGGGACTTCACACGATCCTTTTCTTCCCAGGATCGTGACTGTTGCTGGTGACTGTTCAATTCATAAAAGCCTGGTGAAATGAATGCTTCGTCCTCTTCGGCTGTGATGCATCGAAAGATTCAAGGCCCGGAAAAGGTTAAGCAGAAGCTTCTCAATTACAAGCATGCATGTATTGGGAGCAAAAATGGAGATCAACATGCGTTTGATAGATATACACACATGGCTCGTGTTCAAATACAATTACCGAGGAAGAGCAACTTTTTCGTCACCTATTTCCTACCTCATCCTGAGAACAAACTAATGAGTCCAATGCTGAGTAGCTCACACCAAGCAAAAACTTTCACCAACCTATCTCGAACATTGAGAATAACAAGGCAAATCCGGTCATTGATCGTACCTAAAGCTACAAAACAAGATAGCCATTGTGGTGCGATATCTTCAAACGAATAATGGTGCATTGAATCTCTTCCCTCTCTATAAGACTGCCGTAGATAAAGCATTTGTGCAATGACTGACTTCCTAATTCTGACGATTGTGTTTCTGTCTGGCATAAGACAAAGTTGATGATGATGTATAAGGTCATGAAGAAGACTACAATGTTGATGATGATGATATATAAGGTCATTGATGATGATGATATAAGGTCATGAAGAAGACTAAAATGTTGATGATATTTATTGTATAGGGTCATGAAGAAGACTACAATGTTGATGATTATATATATACGGTCATGAAGAAGAAGACTCTGTAAATGTAATGGTTTTAGTTAACAGTGACAACGCCAATTAACTAGCTATGATTAACTCGTTTCTAACCAGACAATTACTAGAACATAATTGAGACTAACATAGTTATGGCAGGCACATTTCCTTCAAATTTCATGGAGGTGGAGGTTGTCATTCATGTAATTTTCAGTAAGCAACTGTTATCATTTTACTCAGCTCTTCTCATGCTAACGAACATGATGAGTACAGAAGGAGAGCAGGAGAGGTGATAGAGATGGTGAAACTTGAAACAGTCGTCTGCAGTAACTATGACATCCAATGATAGATCAGAAATAATTAGGACAAAAAGGCCCAGATGTTGAATCAGGAGGAGCTCACATAAGGCAGTGGCTCCACAAAGTCAAATTCATACAATGATTATTCATATTTGGCCTACTCAACATCTTGTTTACTTTTGTTTCTTTGTGACTTTTAGCCACCATGCTTATTCAAAAGATAAGTCTAACCATTGTTTTACTACTTTGTCGGAATGTAGAGAAGGGCAGCATTCATAACTATATGTCTTCAGTCATAAATTACTGCAGTTAAATTATACAGAGAGAATTAACAATTATGCAGCACAATGGAGAAAAGGCTGTATACAAACATGGATCTACATGTGAAGCAGAACTGCAGACAATTTCTGCATTAATGATTAGCAAGCAAGAAATTAATTATTATGATAAATACACAACTATATACAAATAAATGACAAGAACACCATTTTGGCATTTATAATGGGAGACCATCCATCCATCCATCCATTAGTTTTGACCTTTTTATACTTTGAGCAAGTTTGGAGCTTCACATCTAATATAATCCAGTGATGCCCTGACACCTATTACTGTACATGGGACGTAAACTAAAAGGAAGTCCACATTTATTGGGTTTGTTTCCATTAAGCAATGGTGAAATCCATGAGGAAATTACCTTCGGCTGTGCCCATCACTGCACTGGTCACTGAAGGTCCCCAGCAAGGACTAGTCGTTGGCTGCTGAGGTACCATGATTTTTGGCATCTCCTTTGGAGGACATGAGGATGTCAACAAGCAGAAGAGAAGCCTACAGTAATTTTCTTTTTGGCTGAAGGCATTTGGTTTTAGCTTTCTGGTTATGGAGTTTAAAGCTCTGCCCGAGGTTCTCAAGTTGCAGTGGGTTCTCATCCGAAATGATAGCTGATGTTTGCTTGTTGGCAGGGAAAGAAGGTAACGCAGTTGCTTGCCAAACTTCGTCTGCGATTACTTGCTGTCATCATCTGACATGCTTCTTCCTTCTCCAGGGAAGATAGAGAACGAAGTAGAGCGAGCATTATAGATCACGGTTTCTGTTCTTGCAGACAGTTTGTGGAGATTGCAGAACTTGCAGTGCAGTGCAGTTCTTTGTTTCTGGTTCCCAAGCATTTGGCCCATCAGAGATTGTAACGATGGCAATGGAGGCCCCATTAAAAGTGGCTTTGGGCACTCTTGCTTTTGTAGTTTTCTGGATTTTAGCTGTGTTCCCCGCAGTTCCCTGCTTACCCATTGGAAGGACCGCAGGCTCTCTCCTCGGCGCCTTGCTCATGGTCATCTTCCGAGTCATATCACCCGAGGAGGCCTACAGCGCGATCGATCTCCCAATTCTTGGCCTCCTTTTCGGGACCATGGTCGTCAGTGTCTTCCTCGAGAAGGCCGACATGTTCAAGTACCTGGGCCATTTGCTCTCTTGGAAGAGCCGAGGAGGGAAGGACTTGCTCCTCCGGATCTGTCTCGTTTCTGCAATCGCGAGCGCTCTGTTCACCAACGACACCTGCTGCGTCGTGCTAACGGAGTTCGTCCTCAACGTCGCGAGGAAGAACAATCTGCCACCCAAACCTTTTCTTCTGGCACTGGCGTCCAGTTCCAACATTGGATCCGCAGCTACTCCGATCGGGAACCCGCAGAATCTAGTGATCGCTCTCCAGAGTGGCATGTCCTTCGTCGAATTCCTGTCGGGGATCGTCGTTGCGATGCTCGTGGGAGTAGTCGTGAACGCGGCCATTCTGCTCTGCTACTTCTGGAGGCTGCTCTCGGCCGACAAGGACGAAGACGTGGACTCAGCGGCGGCGGTGGCGGCCGAGGTCGATGTGAACCTGCATCGGTTTTCGCCGGCCACGATGTCGCACCTCAATATCAAGAATTCTCAGGCATCGGCGAGTGATGCTTCGGCACAGAGCTCCATTTCAGGTGCTGCGAACTTGAGATGCAGGACTAGTAGCGCTGACGGTGGTGTAACGGATTCTGCAATGGCGCCGGATCCATCGAGAGATGGAATTTGTGTAAGCGGGGACGACGGTGCATCAACAACATGGAGGACGCAATTGTGGAAGACATGCGTCTACCTCGTCACCGTTGGAATGCTCATATCGCTCTTGCTGGGGCTGAACATGTCATGGACAGCCATCACAGCGGCTCTTGCGCTCGTCGTCCTCGACTTCAAGGACGCACTCCCTTGCCTTGAAAAGGTAATGCATATATATATATATATATATATATATATATATATATATATATATATATAGACATGCATGCATGTTTTCCGAAGGCTTAGCTCTGCTTGGAGAAGTGCTGATCGCAACGCTCGTTGCTGCTTCAGATTTCGTATTCCTTGTTGATATTCTTCAGCGGGATGTTCATTACGGTGAACGGCTTCAACAAGACCGGCATACCGAGTGCCTTGTGGGAGTTCGTGGAACCATACGCACAGATTGATACCGTCGGAGGGGTTGCGTTGCTATCCTTGGTGATTCTTCTGCTCTCCAATGTCGCCTCCAATGTGCCCACCGGTACCTTCTATGTCTTTTTAACTTATTTGAGAGGAAACCAAAAAGAAGAAGTCATTCTACTTCACACTCTGCTTGTTTCAGTTCTGCTGCTGGGAGCGAGGGTTGCGGCATCGGCTGCAATCGTTTCCCTGGCCGAGGAGATGAGGGCGTGGCTGATACTGGCATGGGTCAGCACAGTTGCAGGAAACCTCTCCCTGCTGGGCTCCGCTGCCAACTTGATAGTCTGCGAACAGGCTCGGAAAGCTAAATCTTTTGGATACAACCTCTCCTTCCTCGGCCATCTGGTGTTCGGAATCCCTTCCACGCTCATCGTCACTGCTATTGGCTTGGTCTTCGTCCGAAGTTGATCGAGCGAGCGAGACGAAAGCTATGTGCATCCGACAGGACCAGAAGAAACTGGTTCTAGCCACTACTAGTGATTTCGAAATTGTTGCAGAACAAAATAATACTAGAATGTAAATTAGGCCTTCATCGGTTTAAGGACCGGAGATGATTAGCTTATCCTTCTTATCCTAATAAGACTTCATAAATACGCCATTGTGCACTGAATTGTATGAATTTCTATTCTCTCCTCTATAAAATCTTTCGGATCTGATATCTTCCCTACTATTTTCCAATAAAGGTACTAGTGTCGTAAGAGAATGTTCTATAAAGCATTTAGCGTTCCATAGAACATATACTTTTATCATTGTTACTCCCTCGAAACTGTACGAAGATTAAACTGCATTTTCAGAGCGTGTGAGGTGGATTAATCAAAGGCTCCTCCAATGGTCCACTCTGACACAATCACCCTAAACAGCATAGAAGACACGGAACCATGCATCTAACATTATTTCAAAGTAGTTTGCTTAGACATATATAAAGTAGTTAGGCTGCCAAATTAATTAGCGTCCGATATTCAATTGAAAATTGTTACCAGTATTAACAGTATATTATTACCATTACTCTGGATGGTAACAACTTCCGGTTCATGACGGACAGAAAGCACTTGATTGAAAACGCAAGCTTCCGGTGGATCCAATAAAGAAAGATACACCGCTAATTCACATACAAGGGTTTTATTTTTTCCACATACACACCCCAAAAAATGAAAAAACAAAAAACAACTATGCAACTGTATATGTACATCGGATGAATAATACAAGGAATATGAAACAGCAACTGTGGTATGCTTACAGACCGTTTGTGAACTCCAATCACCCTTTAATTTTGATCTGAATGTTGGGCTTGGCAACAGGGCAAATCGAACATCAATATCTTCTGGTCATTTACTGCACATCATCTTTCTTGAGCCACCATCTTTAGCTCGGTGTGACTTCAAGGAGGTTTAAAATTAAAAAGCTTACTCTGTAATATTACTTCTACCAGAATCTGTCTGATCGATTTGTAATACTGTATGTGCAAGTGGGTTGAAAGCCTTCAACAAAAGACCCAGAGCAAAGGAGCATGATGCTCGAACAACTGCATCTGGTGATCGATTCATTCGGGTTACTAATGCTGCAAACACCTGGTAGAAAAAGGACATTAAGATTCTCTTAAATAGATCCAGACACCATGGATCAGCAAGAACAAGAATTTTTATATAACCGGCCAAGGTGACAGCAAGCAATGGTGCTAAGTAACCGGCCAAATGCAGAAGTAAAAACCTGCAAACAGTAAGGAGCCAAAGACCGCTGATCTTCTGAAAGTGACAGCAAGCAACTGGAGAAGTAAATTGCATTTGCTTGTATAACCGGCCAAGGTGAATCAAAAGCCTGTGGCAACAATATGCAACGCATAAGTGTTTTACTGTAATCAAATGCAACAAGAATACCTCCCAACTATACCTGGATCAATGGTGCTAAGTAACTATCAACTCTAGAGGCCAGGAGTTGATAGACATGCCTTGATAGATCTCTTATGAAGTCCTCATAATCGCTTCTGATACATAAGGAAAAAATGGCTCACATGATCATTTAGAAGTTGTAGTTCTTGACTTCTTGTACGAGATTGGACAACCTAAAACTGACCTTCTTTCGGAACTGAAAACTTGTTTGTTAAAAAGGGCAGAGAAGCCATCAGCTTCTATCAAGGGTGCAAGCTGTCGAAGGGTATTCTAATCAATTGAAAAGAAAAAGGTCAGCTGATCACTGAAAAGCAAAATAAACATAAAGATGGAAAACTCTATAGCATCATACCCTGCATGCTTGACGAACATTCAGATCATCATCATGAAGATGAAGAATCAGGCGAGGGATAGTGGCATGAACCTAAATGATATAAAGAACAATGAGTGGGAGCCAAATGAACTATGACAGCCTCCAAAAATAAAGCTACATTAGCCACTCGTTCTTTCACAGAAAGGACATTTTGCAACAGAGACTAATCAAGCGTATATTCATGCAGTCAGCAGATATTTAAACAAGCAGCAAGAAGTCATAACATCATTCAGTGACACTGAAATCCTTGATAAGCACATTAATAAATTTGTCAATATCATGTTACTAACCCCATACATGAACTTCTAACTAGCTTTAAAAATGGGAACAGTTTGTCTTGCACAATACTCGTTGACTTAGTTGTTCAGCTTCTGAGTTCCAGGTTAAGGAGATTGCAAGCTCATCTATTAATCAGTCAGCCATGGTATCCTAACAACATGCTGCATCAAAGAGAAGCCCCCTCTTTTTTGTTTAGTGGATTAAAGAATGCTATCATTTGGCCTAATTAAATAATACAAGATTTCCTTATAGACTTTATTTTGACAAAAATAATTTTGATGAACACTAAAGGTAGAACACCTACTCATGAAATTTCACAGTACTTTGAAGACGAAAGCAAATCTGCAGGTGTGTTCCAAGAAGATTATCATTTGCTTGTCCACCCTTAACAAACTTATGCTGTCTAGATATTTCTCAAACTCATGAGATCCTTCCGGAAGAATTTGGAACATCCATTTTGCATATGTAAATTCAAGCAGGTATAAGAAAATAGCACTTTCTTGAGACATCACAAATACAAAAAACGGATTCAAAATTCAAGAAGATCCTCATACAATGCGTCACCATTTAATGAGCACCCAGACCATGAGTCAACTGAATTATTTTGTATGATATACACAATCTTAAAATTCTACTATTAATCAAAACTCAGTTGATCCTAGTACAATGAGTTTTATCCAACAATTGATCCTGGTACAACGAGTCAATCTCATCCGACAATTTTAAACTTAGTACTAGGATCAAATGTTTAGATAAAACCAAGGTTTTTAATTTCGAATGACACCACTCGTACCGAGCGATACGTATTGGTCCGCCGACAGACTGGTATGCGGACTACCCGCTATTGGGCGGTACTGTTGATTGGGGCTGTTTCCGCCCCATTACCACCCGAAATTGGTCGGTGACGGTCGATTTCGACCGTCACCACCCGCTACCAGGCGGTATCAGCCGAGGGAGAAGAAAGAAGAAGGAAAAGAAAAGGAAGAACTTGGAGATCCGATGTCGCTCTCCCTCGACGATCCCGATCAGTCGCCGCCCTCCCTTGTCGGACACCGTAGATGAGATGTCGCTTCCTCCTCGCCTGAGGCGACGAGGCCTCGGCATCGTCGACGACTTCTCATTCAGGCGAGGAGAAGAAGCCTTGGCGACATCGTCGAGGCTTCGCGGGGAGAAGAAAATGATGTTTCTTCTCCCCACGTGGGGAGAAGAAACAAGGCGATGTTGCCCCTTTTTTTCTTTATACACACACACACACACACACATATATATATACCGCACAATATGCCAGAGCGTATTGCTCAGTACTCGTACCATACCGTACCGAGTTGAGCTCGATACTCCGGTATGGTACGAAATTATGAACCTTAGATAAAACTCATTGTACTAGGATCAACTATGAGTCAACCTTATCCAATAATGTTTACAACAAAAATATTGGTATGGTAGCAGTGTATCACACACTTAAGGAATTGAAAACTCATTCGACAAATTTTATACCTTTCTCGACATTTTGCTAAAGATCAAGTTTTGTCCATATATACCATTTGAACATCCTAATCGCATGTGATAGTTGTACATCTAGTATACATACCTCACTGAGGATGAATAGTACACCTTGTTTTAATTAACCATCTGCAAAAATTGTGTTGTGGATGAATCTTCACAAGAAAATCTCACTGACTTCACTAATTAGGACATTGCAAGGAGACAAATCTTGGCAACTCTATCTTTTATTTGTATATCGACGTACAAGTCAACTAGGAACTTAATGGGTTATCAATAAATTGTTTTTAGAAAAGGAAAAAAACAACAAAGAAGGAACACATTGGTAACTCCTCCAGTCTTAAGGTAAGAAGAAACTAGGTTGACAGAAAAACAGAGAGAAATGCACACAAAGATATGTTTCATGTATTACGATAGTGAAAATATGAACTCTCAATCCTAGTATTGCCTTTCAGTGTACTTGCTATCTTTTTTGCCTTGATCTTTAAAGCTATGTTTTTAAACTTAATGTCATATAAACCAAGGTTCACAATTTCATACCGTACTGGGGTATCGAGCTCAGCTCGGTATGGTACAAGTATACCGAGTGGTATGCTCTGACATATCGCTCAAGATATATATATATATATATATATATATATATATATAATTTTAAAAATAAAGAAAAGGGCGATGTCGCCTTGTTTCTTCTCTCCGCGAAGCCTCGGCGACGTTGTTAAGGCTTCTTCTCCTTGCGCGGATGAGGAGAAGTCGCTGATGGCGCCGAGGCCTCGTTGCCTCAGACGAGGAGGCGATAACTCATCTGCGGCGTCCAGCGAGGGAGGGCGACGACAGATTGGGATCGTCGAGAGAGAGCGACACCGGATCTCCAGGTTCTCCCTCTTCTTCCTTCTCCCTCGGCTAATACCGCCCGATAACGGGCGGCGACGGTCGAAATCGACCGTCACCGATTGATTTCAGGTGGTAACAGGGCGGAAACAGCCCCAATCAACGGAACCGCCCGGTACGGGCAATATCATTCGAAATTAAAAACCTTGATATAAACCATTCTAAAATGCTGCGATCAATTCCTCTCTCTAGGAGCTGATCATAAAAGAACTAAAAATCAATCTGACTACATATATACTTACACATACTGGTTGAATTGCTACATATAAACATGTATTTATAACAGCCTGACGAAAGGCCAGTACCATTCCATATTATACCTTGGTACATGTTGGCATCTATTTCATACTGGATGGTACCTATTGGCATAATTACCGAGAATGCGAATACCATATTGGTCCAACAAAACACAGAACTGGCATCAGCCAAATTTTGAACCTGGGTATATCCAAATCCAACGGTGTCTAAGGATTATAGAAACTAAGACAGGATTAGTAATCATATTGGGAACAAATAAAATATTGCTTTTCAGTTGGTGACAGCATTTGAGTGAAATACCTGCTCAAGAAAAGCCTGATGTTGTGAACCCATTCCAAAGTTGCTTAATGCTCCATAGGCTGCAAAAGCATTCGAACGCATTTTCTCATTCATGGAGATCTGTTCACAAAAAGCAAATATTATCCTGATGTTAGTGTCATGCTTTATGGGTAGATACTTAGCTGACAGGAACATGGACAGAAAGAATGCAAAGTATCTTATGAAATTAAAGAGAAACAGAAATAGGGTTTCCAACACTCATGTTGGCAACACCTGGTCACACATGCACAAATTTATCTAGAAGCTTGATCACAATGTTATAATTATTTTAGCATTAATTGGTATGCGACCGTCATGAAGGTAAATTTGCAACTTCTATTCAAACATGAAATGAAGGAATCTCTAAATTACAAATTTCATGACAGAAAGCCACAAAGCAGAAACTTAATATAATCCTTAATCAATACAATACTCATTTGAAATATTTTCACCTGCAAATGAGCAGTAAACAGAGCACTCACTGTATAGCAATCATTGCAGTATATTTCCAATTGCAAAAAATGCCATTATAAGCACACTTTTCATGTTAAAAATATTAAGATAATAAAAAAAGTAAAAGACAGAAAAGAAGACACTAAGCATAACATTACATATACATAAAGCATAAGCAAGAATGTCTAAACAAATACATGTGGTGCCATGTGACCAATTGTCACAGGTTGGACATGTTGCCTTGCTTAGCTAGGAAGCACGGACACATCATTTTGGTTGGCGTATCCGTGTCGGACATGTATCAGACACGGATACATCACCGACATGGCCTGACACGTGTCCGACACATATCCTATTTATTCTTCTTTTTTTTTTTTTGGGACACGACATATCCGTGTTGGACATCTCCCGTGCCCGTGCCCACGCCCTTCCTTGCTTGACACTTGCGTGTGGTGTTGAGTCGCATGGCCTTCACATGAGGATGGGGGAAGCTAGAGGAATTTGGGGGATATGGGGAATTTGCGGATTCTCACCAAACCTGGAGGCGAGGTGTGTGAACACCAGCAGCAAGTGGAATTGCAGCAGAAGCAGATTCAACAAACTTCAGTAGAAGCAACAGAGCACCAGATTGCAGTTGAAGTGACACTGTTGCGTCTTTGCCATCGTGCCTTAAGCTTGCTTTCGCTGTCCCCTATTGCACGATGCACGCCCTCGATGACCCGTCGCTTATCACCATATGCACTCGGTGTCCCTCTCACCCTCAGGAACCCATTGCCTATCATCAGCACCCTCACTCGTAGGTTTCTCTTGGCATCCCTCTCGTCAATCCGTTGCCAACAACAAGAATCATGGGCTTCCCTCAGCGTTCCTATTGCCGACCCATCACTGACCATGTAGAACGAGCAAGCGATTGTGATTTCAATCCTTCTGTTTGTTTTTAATATTTTTTAATTAATTTATCACCTTTTATATTTGTATTTTCATGTTTGCCCAATTATATATTAGATATAATGTCTTACTATTATAATGTTTGCCTACTATAAAAAGCCTAAATTATGAATAAGATATAATAAATCTACTATAATATCTAAATTATAATGTCAGCTTCTTATTCATTATAACTCAAGTGTATACCAAGAGTAATAGGTTAGGTCTTAGTCTTACTATTATGATTTTTTATTACTGTCTCTTATTACTGCCTCCTATTCATAATAGGTTTGATCTTATTTATTATGCTATATTAGCCATGATATATGTTACATTGTGAATATATAATGATTATTGTAATATAATTTTTTATTTTACTTTTGCTTTTACGAAAACACATATAAGGCTTATATTAACATGAAAATTCCACTAGAAAATATAATTAGATTTAGATGATTTTAATTAATTAAATTTGTGTGATGATATTTATTTGTTCACATTGTTGAGTCTATAAAATTTAAATATATATGCTATAAAACTCATGCTTTATATTATATATATATATAATATTAAATATACACATGTCCTCACCGTGTTTGTGTCCATGTCATGTACTTCTTAGTTGCTTAAAGCAAGGTTTATAATTTTGTACCGTACCGACGTTTCAAGCTCAGCTCGGTATGATACGGTATGAGCGTACTGAGCGGTACGCTTTGGTGTACCGATCAGAATATATATATATATATATATATATATATATATATATATATATATATATATAAAAGCAATGTCGCCTCGTTTCTTCTCCTTGCTAAGCTTCTCCCCACGTGGATGAGAAGTCGCCAACAACGCCGAGGCCTTATCACCTCAAACGAGGAGGAGGCGACATCTCATCTGCGACGTCCGACAAGGGAGGGCGGCAATGGATCGGGATCGTCGAGGGAGAGCAACGTCGGATCTCTAGGTTCTCCCTCTTCTTCCTTCCCTCTGCTAATAGCACCCGGTAGCGGGTGGCGACGGTCGAAATCGACAATTATCGACCGATTTCGAGCAATAATGGGGCATAAACAGCCCTAATCGACGGTACCACCCGGTACGGGCGGTATCATTGAAAATTAAAATCCATGGCTTAAAGCCAATATCCTACCTTTAATGCAGGTGCTGGTTATCAATAGAGTCAATAGGAATTGTTATGGCTAGACAGTCATTTCCTGCGTGTAGATTAAACAAACTTACAGATAAAAGATTAAAATGGAGATACAAAACTGATCGTCCCGCACGGATAGAGGACTTAATACTTTTGAAGTTAGTATTTGGTTGCTTGTGTTTTGGTGTATGTGGTATTAATAGAGGATTCTCAGTAAAGGAGGTTACCTGTAGATTTCTCAGCCGCACAGATAGATTTATTAAAATGGGATCTACAGCCTCTTCAGATGATGAGCTGAGAACCTACAGTCAGATTTAATCCGTATGCATAAGACCATGAAGACTAAGAAATAGTAAATATTTATGTATGCTTCAAGGAAAAAAGTGGTACTACACAAGTATCTTACACTAAGCAAGCATTGTACTGCGGTTAATTGAACTGATTCATCAGGGTCTTCGAGTAAAGCTACAATGACTCCAAGAACTTGTGCGATGTAGTTAGGCATATGACTCTTTGGAATCTGCAATGAGGTAAAAGAATATAAATCAGTTATGGAAAACATTGCTGTAGCTGTTTGTTTTTCAAATAAGATTTCTTGCTAATACATGCAAAAAGTGTGACATATATATAATATAAGAACTAATTACTGCATGAACAGGATTCACAAATAGAAAATATAAATGACAACAGAGACACCATAACATGGTAATGACTGATAGGTATTCATGATTTATACTTATACCAATCCAAGGCATAAAAGATAAGTATGGCAAGTTCCCTACTGAGATCTGATAACTATAGCTAGAAAAGGTGAATTTGGAGTTTCTCAAACTAAACGAAGATACCCAAGCCATTCAGAAAAGAAGACACAAGAAAACATGAATACAAACAGCAAGAAAAGATTCGAAAATGCATTAGAATTAACATTAGACCATATAGACCAAACAAATACTAGTATGCAGAAACAAAAAGTGCAAGCAAAACAATTCAAATTGTAATATTGCATATTTGCATGAACATTGAGTAGCAGAAGTATAACAAATAACAAAGAGTTAAGGATGAGGGAAAAAAAATCTACAAATAACAATTGGATATGGAGGCCAAGCAAATAGAAAATGTACCTGCACAAGACCGCGCAGACAAAGGCTTCTCACAGTTGGTGATTCATCTGAAACATGCAAGCACATTGCCTCTACAATATGTTCCAGCAATGAAGGTAATCCGTCACTGCATGAATCAATTAAATCATAAATTGAATTGTCTCATGAGTAGACATCTATAATTTGATAAAAACAACAGATGCATGAAAAGCAGTGTATATGTTGGTCAGATTTACTAGTAATGTGTAGTGAGAGCTGAAGCACTTTGAACAGAAAAATCTTAGAAGTAATGTGGTCAAATCTGCAAGGACGACAACAAAATTGTTTGAAGGTATATACTTTAGTAGATTGGTACATGGGGAAAAACAAATTAAACATGTTTAATTTAAGAATCATAAGGTACAACAATGTCATTTGGCAGTGCATGGTTTTCCTTTGAAAAATATCTAATACATCTTGATACAGACCAAAGAGTCAAGTATCCATTGTAGTCTGGTTAGTTCGTATAAATGTTACATTTTTCTCTTTTAAGAAAATTCAATGTACTCTATTCATATTTAATGCACTTGATTTTGCATTATTGGTCCTGTTATCATTTAATAGGGCATTATCTATTATTTGGTGTAAAAATTGGCCAAACAAGATAAAATAACTTTAGGGAGTAAAATTTAGTGGACACTAGGAAAAGATTAGACAAATCCTTATCTTATTCAGTTTTAGTCATGGATTGCCACACCATCCGAAATAGTATGAAAGGGTGGTACAAATCTGTCCGAGGGCTGATCGAAACCCAAGCCACCCTGTTTCAATCGAGCACTTGATTTGTGAGGCGTACCAATCATACTGCCAGCTGATATATATTGATGTCATCTCAATAGTTTAACTTGCTCAAATCTTAAGAGTTCCAACAACTAATCCAATATCTCAACACTTTTCTTTGTAGGTGATTCAAGATCTAAAGAAGCAATTTTCTACAACAAAGAATCATATGACAGTTCTTCCACGATGGATCTGAAAAAGAAAAGAATTTCAAATTTTGATCCCTATAGCCTAGAAGTTCCATTCATTTATGGCTTAGATATAATTCTTAGTTAATTTTAATTTATAAATTAGGAGGAAAAAACCTTAAAATAGGTTTTTTTTTCTTCTCTGTCTCGACTGATTTTTAGTTTTTTTTGCTAATTGTCAACACATACAATCGATCTGGCCAGGGACCGATATGCATGATCTGTACAAGACAACAATCTATGATTTTAGTGGTAGTTGAGTTATTTTTACTAATCTATATAAAAACATACAAACGAACGTATGAATGGCACTATTTTATTATCTTCTTGATTATGTTTTCTTCTGGCTTCTACTCTACTTTCCATCGCTTTGATTGCTCACCTTTTATCCCATTTTGCAATTTTAGTTACCTTTAGTCACTTGTCACATCAATTTGATGCTCTTGCATCCTTGATGCAATGCAACAGATCAGAACACAAATTTATACTACTGTTATTTCTTATTGTGTCAACTGATATCAAAGAAATTCATAAATCCTTGCAAAAAAGAATAACATTTTCGAGCTATAATTTTCTACCTTGAAATTCTATTCAAATTTTCTACCATTTTTATCCCACTCACAACCATAGATTTAATTCTTGTGTACGTCAGGCATATCGCCAAATTATCGCTTAACATTGACTTCCTGACTTGGAATCTAGGAGGGGCATTATGGAATATGCATCATGAATTATTACATGGTTCCGAGAGTTTCAATTATGTAATGATGCAATTGGAAGAGTTTCAACCAACAACAATGGACCATGCTAAAAGAAAAGTAATGTTTGATTGAATGTTTATAAAATAAACAATGTCTAATAATAAAGGTAACAACTATCATAATAATCTATCATATTTTTATTAATAACTTCATAGTTAAACAATGATGGTTGTGAAAGATATAAAGGTGCCAAATACCTATGACGAATGAACTCTGACAAAGCAGAAGCAGCAGCTTCCCTTTGAAACCTTTGATGCCTGTTTAATGCTTTGCTCAAAATCATACTTATCGGCGAAACCTATCAGATAAATCATCAACAGTAATCAAAGAGAACTCAATTAAAAAAAATCTAAAACTGTTAGTTAATATAGCTACTTTATTATCATATGTTTGCACAATTAATGAGACACATCATGCAATGGTGGTTCCATACATGTCAGCACGGAAGCATGCTTTCTCAGAAAGTCACTCAAGAATCTATATACAGATGTCTACCATCAACAAGATTTCACTAATACAAATGTGCGAGCAAATTCAGAATTATTAAAAATCAGTTATTATGCTTACTTGGTTAGAAGGGTCAACAGAAAAAGGACTCAGCAACCAAGGTTCGCAATACCGTACCGTACCGGAGTTTCGATCTGGGCTCGGTACCGGTACGGTACGGTATACCGCTCGGTACACCTAGGTGTACCGAGCGTGCCGAGCACTGTAGCAGTGTCGGAACGGGAACATATGGTCCGCGTACCGAAAGTCTGTCGGACCGGTACGTACCGCCCGTACCGGGCGGTACGGACCGGTACTGCAAACCATGTCAGCAACATAATTGAACAATTTGTCATGAAGAAATTCTATAAAAGATGTTGATACATTTTTCTTTTCAAGGTAAAAAGCAGGAGTAGCCACTCAACCTATTTCATTAAGAACACTGCAACTAAGTACAAGAACAATCAATAACATGGAACTTGATATATGAGAAGATATATAAAACCTTAGCATCATCCTTGTCAAATGTTAGACCACAGTACCACACAACTCTCAGGGGGCAAGAAAATGACAAATTTACAAAAGCCAAATGACAGCAAAATCTTTCATGGCTATAAATGGTCCTATAGTTGCAAAAGAAAAAAAAAATCATTTATTGCATATTGACACTTAATAGTAAGGTTCGCCATACCGAGGCATACCACTCTGTATGGATGATACGTACCAATCCAACAAGGGAGTGATATAGGCGGTACATTAATACATCCCATTGTATCATGTGTTAGTACACTCGGTATGGCTCGTTATATACCATACCAACAATTAGTCGGTACCAGTGATTTAAAAAGCGTTAGGCGCCAAAAGGCGCCAAGGTCCAAAAACGCCTATGGCACTCATCCGAACGAAGCGAGTCGTTAAAATATAAAAATATAAAATAATTAATAAAATAATATAAAAATATAAAAATATATAATATAATTAAACAAAAATTAATAATATTAAAATTAAAATAATATATTATTAATATATTAATAATATTAAAAATTAATCATTTCAAATAAACTTAATAATATTAACATTTAACAGTATACAGTATACGTATACTGTTAAAAGGAAGTGTAAAGGGGTGCTGAGCCTGCTGACTGAGAAAAGAGGAAGCGGTAGCAACGAGCGGCGAGTGACAGCGGTGAGCAGCGGGAACGGGAGCGGCGAGCAGCGGGAGGCGTGAGCGGCAGCGTTTGCGAGCAGCGGCAACGGGAGCAGGAGCGGCGACAGCGGCAGCGTTTGCGAGCAGCGACAGCGGCGAGCAGCGGCAGCGGGAGCAGGAGCGGCGAGCAGCGAGAGGAGCGAGTGACGACAGCGGCAGTGTTTGCGAGCGGCGACAGCGGCGAGCAGCGGGATCGGGATTTGGATCGGCAACGGCGAGGGTTAGGGTTCGTTTGTCACTTATATCAGTTTTAGTTGGTTCGATTGAACCAACTAACCATCATAGACCGAACCAGACCTAAAATCCTGGTTTGGTCGCCTTGGTTAACCCATGCGCTCGCCCGAAGCGCCCAGCACCCGGGCTCGGGCGAGCGCCCAGGCGGCGCCTGTTTGAAGCGCGCCGCCTGGGAGATTAGCGAGGCGCTCGGGCCTCTCCTCGTCTCGCCCGAGCGCCTAGGCGAGCGCCCGAGTGCCTTTTTAAATCGCTGGTCGGTACATCGGTATGGACCAATAAGGCAAACCATGCTTGACACAATAGTATCAGATATTGAGAACTAGAATTTCAATTAGAAACTCTCGTTTTTCTTATTTTGTATTAGCTTTCAAATTGCCTCACGTATGCATAATGCACTCTGCAGTAGAATGCAACGTTTATATTATATACATATATATATATATATATATATATATATATATACATATACATATATATATATATATAATCCTTAACAAGTATTACTTGCTAGATGAATATTAAGTGCATTCTATGTGTTGCAATACATGAGCTTAATATAGTAAATATCATCAATAATTTCAAGGGTAGAGATGCATGAGATAACAAACAGGCTTGGAAATGTCTCTTAAAGCATTATTTTTGTTTTCTTCTCATGCCTTACTAAAATGATATTTTAGATCAGAAACCAAATCACTGTTAAATATCTTAACTGATTACCTCTTTAGGTCTTTTCATGGAGGTACAGGAAGCAATCTCCTGAATCAGATCAATCAACTTCTCTTGGTCCTTGTGTTCTCCATCTCTAGCCAAAATCTACGAATGAAGAAATATTCACTGTTTCTTTTCACATTTCTCATAACTAGTTGGTAGTAAGTAGTTATAGTGCTCCAATAGTCAAACTGATTCCTGATTAACATGTTAAATAGGAGTTTTACCTTGCCCATCTCAATATCCCCCACACAATCACAGAAAGATTGAAATGCTAATAGCAACAACCTACAAGGAAAAATACAGAATACTCGGGCACCACTGACTTAGCCAACTAAAAGAGATAAAAGCAAGATAAACTTTAGGAAACTTGTAGTACCGTAAAGGTTCAAGTTGCCCCAGGCTGGCCAACCCATGGCAACTTCCAAGCTGCAGTGTAAGCGCAGAAAGAACAGTAGAATAACTTTGTTCAACTGCTTTCTTTCCAATTTTACCACCTCCTCTGTCATGAATTTAAATTTTAAAATATATTTGGAAACTTCATACAGATGATACAGAAGGAAGAAAGTTCCACTGAACATTTACATAACACATACCTGAAAAATGCAGTAATAGCAAGAATAGCTGCTTGCTGAATTTGGTTGTCATTTTGAAATTCAACAGAGTGAGCAACAATTTCTCCCTTGTCTACATCAGTCTTGGGTAGAGGAGTTCGATCAAGAACAGAAACCACATACTCAAGAAACGAAAAAGAAAGCACCGGATGCTGGGAGAATGCCTATCATGAGAAAAATAACAGGTGAATGAAAAAACAAAGTGGAAAAAGGAGAAACATGTTGAAGAGTATGTCAAGTTTTCTGGGTTGATAGAAGTGTCTTCAGGTTGCTGGGACTTTGTATCATAACCTAATAGAAGAATTAGATTTGAATCCAACCAAAAATTTTTGAAGTACTATAAATAAACATTTCTTGCAAAAATCTTCAAAAGTTCAATGTCCTAATCAATACAATTATCATTCATATAACTTGAAAAAATTATTAACAAGAAGGTTGCCTGTAGATCATATTTCCACACCATGATTGCTCATCACAAGTGACCAATAAGCCAAAACACAAGATAAAAAAAAAAAAAATCAGTAAGCTTATCTTCCAAGATGGCTGTCTGTTCTATTAACTTCTCACAAATCATCGAGCAGTTGACTAAAAATAAATAATGCAAAATATAGCAACACTTCCATCACAGGCCTCAATATTTACTTAACCAAGAGCTCATGATATAAGTATCACTTCCAGAACGCTATCCTTATAATACATGTTTCACCTCACATTCTAATTCATCTTCAAGTCAATGATGTTCAGATAACCAGTTGATCGAATATAACATGCCTGTTCGCTGATTGAATGCACTTGAAACCTATGAGGCATTAATATGGGGATGGGATACCAGTACAACAAGATAATGCTCTGTAAATACGTCTATTTTCGAGAAAGTATGGTATGACACATATACGACAAGTACTTTAGATGTATAACATTATATATAGTATATACACAAACTTAACATTACATCCAAACCTCTTTTTATAGTGCATAGGAGATTCCTGATATCCAAAATTCCATGAGTTATGAGAGTTGATCTACACTTATCATTTAAGGAATACAGAAGGACAATGATGTCATCAGGCAAGATTTTGGATCAGATATGGCTTACAAAAATCTCAATATTGAAATCAAATCATCACTCTTGGTGATGAACGGCAGTCATATGCCCAAATTCTTGCAAGCTTCCTACAGCCTACAGTGTGTACCTCTTTCCTGAGATTGCAAGTGACTATTGGGAAGGTTGGAAGGCCAACAAGGATTTATGCATTCTGAATATAAAAACCAAACTATCATCTAGAAGCTCATTTATGAAAGGCTCCCCAATAATGATCTGCTGACCAAAATATCTTGTATAGTAATTATTCAAAGAAGTTGGAACCTGTTTCAAAATCATTAAAATATTAGTTCAAACATTGATGATGACTGGATCTGTACAAGGCTGACCACAGAAGGACAAAACCTGGAGACCGACTTTTTGAACTTAGTTGAAATCTTTTATCCTAGTCTTGCTCAATAGAAGCACCATATTGTTTTTTAATTATATTGTGAATCATATCAGATGTTTGGAAATTAATCAGACCTATAGAGTAACAAAATCATGTGACAAATTGGCTTTGACCGTGCTATATCATCTTCAAGCACTTATTTCTGGGAAAACAGCTACAGCTAATTTATGTACCTTACTGGGTGATACAGCAAGAGATTTGTGTTCTGATCTTATCTTTTAATTATTATATTTTCTTAAATCAGAAAAAATAAATGAGAAAATACCATGTATACAAATGGAAACCAAAATCTCGCGTTTGAATCAAGTTCCATGAGTCAAGATATCAAATGTGTAAGTAAACAAATAAAGAGAAGCAAATGTTAAGATACCCACAAAAAATGCATCCTGCATCGGCCAGCCACCCCGAATCCTGGTAACATCTTTAGTAACTATATCCCGTCCAGCAGCAGCCAAAATTTCATTAAAGACAATGCTTGAGTTGGTATTCTCAGCCAAGCATGATATCTTGTAAAGTAATGGAAAAAACAATAATTTGCTGAAAAACACACCAAGCTAATTTTCTGGCTTGGTATATCAAAAGTTCATATTATTATCAACTAAGAGATATGGACAGTTAAATAAGGATACAGCATTTAGAACTTCCTGACGTGTATGTTTATCAGTAATGGCAATAGTTGCTGAAAGCAAAGACTGGGTTGTCCTAAAGCCATGAATATGATTAGATGATATAGTGAAGCTTTAAAAGATAAAGAAATTAATTGAATTCAGACCTTGAAATATCAGCTTCAAGTAACTCATTGCCTCGCTTAGAGATAAACTCAATGACAGCTTGAATAGCACCATCTGCCGACTGTTTGATCTTATCACATATTGCCGACGTGCATGTATGCAATGAGATAATTAGCTGTTCAAAGAATAATGAAGAATGAATTCGAGCAACTAGAACTCAAATTAGCAATCAACAAAAGAATATAGCAAGTCACCTCATCTCTTGTTAGTAGAACACAAACAGATGAAATAACCCTGTTAAAAGTTTCAGACTGGTCTATAGATGCATCCTGAAAAATGCATATGAAAATTTATTACCAAACAAAGATTGCAAGAAAAAGCTACATGACACGAATAGAAGACGATTCCAACCCTTCTTAAAATCGAAATAACATCTTCAAGAGATGACAAGGCACTGTATGAAACTTCAATATCAATATAACTAACGGATGCTGCCAGTTTTGGAAGTGATAATGCGACGCTGAAGAATTGACCAATAATCTGGAAAAAAACCATGAAAAATAACCAATAAGAAACATCCCCAAATACGATTGTGTGACAGTGATAATAGTTTACAAAGCATCTATTTGTAATAACAAGATCACCTGTGCTGCTAATTTTCGAACTTCAGAGCTTGTATCTGCACATCGTGGAAGATATGCTATTACCCTTTCTCCCAGGCTCAGAGAGTCCCGGCTTGGTAATACAAAAGCAGCTGAAAAGAATAAGGAAATTGAACACAAGAATGTTATATTCAATGTAAACATGGAAAGAGCTAAAAAGTATTAATCATCATTACATGGTAAATTGGAAAAGTTTCTTTGTGCCACTCTATCGATTTGTTTGCTGTGCATACAACTTGAGTGGCAACCCAGTCCACAAACTCCTCCAGAGAAAAGGGCCCTGAATTTGAGTAACAACTCATATACAGCAACACAACCTCTTCTTCTTTGGTGCTCCACAGAAGATGAAACATATAAATCCACCTGTCTAAGAATATGCAACAGCTGCTCTGCTCGACTTCGTCCATCTTCACCACTGACAAGACATTAGTGTGTAAATGGAAGCACAAAGAAACAGTGAAAAAATATATTAAAGTAAAATTCAAGAATATATGTCGTGTCAGTCCATAACAAGACAAAACAAAGGCAACATAACAGATATAACAGAGGTAATCAAACTAAACATTGTATGATGTGTGTGTGACACATTATCATTCGATTTTGTATGTTATAGGCATGCACAATCCAAACAAATCATCAATTTTAAAAACTTTTTCCTGAACACAAACATGGAATACAAAGTTAAAACCAGTGATTTAAAAAGCGCTAGGCGCCAAAAGGCGCCAAGGTCCAAAAACGCCCGAGGCGCTAGGCGCTCGCCCGAGCGAAGCGAGGCGC